CACATACACCGACTCTGGCGCCAGGCCCATCCCGAGCCCAGGAGCGGTGCCTACGCCCTCTTGCCTTGGCCAGGAAGGCATACGCATCGATCCTGGGTCACGGATGGACGTTGTCAGGATCGGTGCACGTGCACAGCTCTCTCCGCCCGAATCATCTGCGGGGCGCCCGCAGGGCGCCCGCGGGCGGGCACCGGGCGACACCGCGGCATGCGCCCCCAGCGCGGGGCGCCCACGCGGCGCCCACGGGGCGGGCTCCAGGCGAAGAGCCGCGGCACGCGCCACCCGGCCCGCGAGGCGCCCCCACGGGCGGGCACCTTGGCGAAGCACCGACGGCACTCCCCGGGCGCCGAGCGCCCAAGAGGCGCCCAGGCAACCAGGCGCCGGCCGAGCCCCCGCCAGACAGTCAAAAACCCTGATAAGGACGCGCGGCAAGGACGCAAGACCCTTGGAAGCCGAAGTTGGGATTTTGGGGGCGACGGACGACGAAAACCCCAAGGACGCAAGAGCAAGGAAGAGCAAGGACGCAAGGGTACTCCAGATTTCGTGATAAAAGGGAGGGGGTCACAACCCTCCCAGACGAGACGTTTCAGACCCCCCCAGACGATCCATGACAGGGCGGCCCTTTGCCCAGACCCCCCCCGAACCCTCCAAGACAGCTCAAATTAGACCCCCCCCCCCGAATGTGACCCCCCCACTTTGTTATGGAATCCGGAGTACCCAGAGCAAAGTCGCGCGTCCTTCTTAGGGTTTTTGACTGTGCCCGCTCAGTTCCTTACGCAATCGAACTGCGAACCCCCAAGTAAGGCACCCGCTGGGGAACATGCCCACCACTCGCACGGATGAAGGGCGGCCCGCTTCCGAAACGAAGCTCGCGTCCGCGGCATCCACAGCCCACACTACCACCAAGCTGGAGCTGGAGCATGCCAGCGTGCACGGTTGGCGGGCAATCACGCTCGAACTCGTCGCCTGGCTCCGGCGAGACGCACTCCTACCCCATAGCATACGTAATATGCAAAGCATGATGGAGGTCCATTCCCGATCCGCCTACTTTGTACACTGCAGTTCCCTAGAGAGAGAGAGAGAGAGAGGGAGAGGGAGAGAGAGGGAGAGAGAGAGAGAGAGAGAGAGAGAGAGACAGAGAGAGAGAGAGAGATCGCCTGCAGGGGTCCTGTGCAGTGTTCCCAGGCACGCGCGAGGTCTTCCAAACTCCAGGAGGTCGGTGGCCCGGGGCCCGTGGCCGGCCTCCCGCGTGGCCTCCCGCACTGGTCTCCCGCGTAGCCTGCCGAGCGGTCTGCCGCATGGTCTGCCGCATGGCCTCCCGCATGGTGTCACGCATGGTGTCACGATTTGTTTTTTGTTCCCCCACCCCCACAGCGAAATCGCCTGAAGGTACGATCGCTCTCGGAGTCCGCTGCCCCTCAGGGGGGCTCTCTCCCGAGCGCACGCGACAGAACAGCAGGCATCACTGCAGAGATGAAGGCCCCAAAAAACCTGCAATAGCCCTGGACACGGGCAAAGGGAGGAGGAGGACGAGGAGGGAGCCCTGTCACGAATGGCCTCCCGCACGGTGTTCTGCAAGGTCTGCCCTATGTCCTCCTGCAGACTCTACAGTAGGAGCTCGAGCACAAGAGACCGTCCACGAGAAACCGAACCCTGAGACCCCAGGACGTCAGTTGATGTTTGGTGTGGGAGCGTCACGCTCCCCATAGCAAAATCATCGAACTCTAAGAAACCCAGGGCACCCTGGAAGCAAGCAGGGTGTCTTGGCATGGGCTTCCACTGTACTGCGTGGTATCCAATATCCGCCACACTGCCGCTGGGCACCGAGTGGGCGTGTCCTCAGGTCCTGGGCCGAATCCTCTAAGTCTGACTCCTGAGGACTGTTTAAGGGACCTGGACCCCACATTGCCTGGCGCGTCTCGTCGGGAGCGTGTCGCGTCTTCTCGCGCGACTTCTTCGGGTCCAAGAGCCCCAACCAAGATGGGCCCAGAGAGCCCCAAGAGGCCCCCAAGACGGCCCAAGAGGACCCCGAGTGGCCAAACGATCGGTCCAAGACGTCCAAAGACGGCCCAAGAGGCCTCCAAAACGCCCAAAGAGGCCTCCAAGAGGCCTCCCGAGTCGGCCTCAAGAGGCAAGCACCATCGATGTGCCTTGGGCCGCTGAAGGATTTTGGCGTTCTCACCCTGTCGGCCTCCCATGACTGCCCAGGAGGGCCCCAAGAGGGAGCCCCGACGGGAACCCGAACGGACATTTCCAGCCCTCTGCCACGAAGGGCGCTCAGGAGGCCCTGAGAGGCCCCCAAGAAGGCCCCAAGAGGCCCCGAAGGGGCCGCAAAGGGGCCCCCCCAGAGGCCCCCGAGAGGCTCCAGAGAGGCCCCCCCAAACTGCTCCCAAGAGGCGCCCGAGAGCCCTCCGAAGAGACTCGAAGGAACACCCCTGAGAACTCTGATCCACAACCCAGGCGCCGTGGCGGGATGGGGCCGAAAGCCACTGTCTCCCGTATGTCTCCCGTTCGCTCTCACGCATGGTCTCCCGCATGGTCTCGTCCGTATGGTATCCCATGTGGTGTCCCATCTGGTTTCCCGCATGGTCCCCCATATGGTCCCCCATTGGGTTTCCTGCATGGTCTGCTGTATGGTTTCCCGTGCTGTCTCCGGTACAACCTCCCGTATGGTCTCCCGCATGGTCTCCCGTATGATCTCCAAAACGGCTTCCCGCATGGTTTCCCGCATGGCCTCCCGTGTACCCTCCCGTCTGAAATCCTACGTGCGGTTGCCGCATGCACACTACAATGGAATGCTCGATGTCCGCATGAAAAATAATGGGTATTGTTGTGTTGCCGCCAGGGCGTAAGGTTCTGCTGTCGGGCCACATGTAAAAAATGCTCGTTGATGCGAGGATTACACACTTACCGGTGCAAGGGGGCACACAGGCAACAGCGCTGCAGGAGAAACCACGTGCTGGTTCAAAGCCAACAAAAAAATATCGCGGCAAAGCAACCTAACAGCGATGTGTAGAAGCATATCTGAAAGCATTCCCCTTAAGATTCAAATGAAAATCCAGTTGTCGAATTCTGCTGTTCTCGCAGTCGTAGTCGCATTCGCGATGACAGTCGCAGCGGCAACGGCAGTCGCAGTCACAGCCTCAGCCTCAGCCTGCCTCAGCCTCAGCCTCAGCCTGCCTCAGCCTCAGCCTGCCTCAGCCTCAGCCTCAGCCTGCTTCAGCCTCAGCCTCAGTCTGCCTTCAGCCTCGGCCTCAGCCTCAGCCTGCCTCAGCCTCAGCCTGCCTCACCTCAGCCTCAGCCTCAGCCTGCCTCAGCATCAGCCTGCCTCAGCCTCAGCCTCAGCCTGCCTCGGCCTGCCTCAGCCTCAGCCTCAGCCTTCAGCCTCAGCCTCAGTCTGCCTTCAGCCTCGGCCTCAGCCTCAGCCTGCCTCAGCCTCAGCCTGCCTCAGCCTCAGCATCAGCCTGCCTCAGCATTCAAAATGTGCCCAGGAATGGAGTTCTGGGAACTCGAAGAACACGAAGTGGCCTACAGTTGGCTCCGGGCATTCAAAATCATGCCCAGGAATGGAGTTCTGGGAACTCGAAGACCACGAAGTGGCCTACAGTTGGCTCCGGGCATTCAAAATGTGGCCCGGGAATGGAGTTCTGGGAACTCGAAGAGCACGAAGTGGCCTACAGTTGGCTCCGGGCATTCAAAATGTGGCCCGGGAATGGAGTTCTGGGAAGTCGAAGAGCACGAAGTTGTGACTGTTGGCTTTAAAACGATTCTTTCTGCGGCCACCCTGTCCGGCACCCCGCCCAGACACCCCTGTGGGAGTCCTCTGCTGCTCCTCTTTTGAACCCTACTAAAAACCTATCAGACAGCAAGCCTGTTAGGTAATAAAGGGCGTGCTCGGTGTGGATGGCCAATGCCGCAATGAACAACCCGGCACGGCACGCGAGGAGAGGAGGAGGAGGAGGGAGGAGAGGGAAGGAGAGGAGGAGGAGGAGGAGGAGGAAGGAGGAAGGAGGAGGAGGAGGAGGAGGAGGAGGAGGGAGGAAGGAGGAGGGGGAGGGAGGAGGGGGTAGGAGGGGAGGAGGGAGGAGGAGGAGGAGGAAGGAGTAGGAGGAGGAGGAGGAGGAAGGAAGGAGGAGGAGGAGGAGGATGAGGAGGAAGGAGGGAGGAGGACCAGGCATCCGCGAAGAGGACGCCTTGTCTCGCCTTCTAGAGCCTGGGCACGGCACGAGAGGGCACGCGGGCACGGCACGCCACGGAGAACCACGGCACAGCTCTCTCTGCCTTCTCAAAGCTAGGCACAGTACGGCGCATGCTGTTTCATCGAAGCGGGGCCGACGCCTGACAGATTTCGCCGGGCTCGCACCATGCAGCCTCATGGGACCCTCACCACTCCAAAGGGTGCTCGCAGCAGAGAAAATAAGCACACGCATCGCCTCTGAGGGAGCGGCTTGAGACGGGAGGCCGCATTGCAGCATTAGTGGCGTACTAGCTTTCCTATGGTCCTCCTCCTCCTCCTCCTCCTCCTCCTCCTCCTCCTCGTCATCATCATCATCATCATCATCATCATCCACCACCATCACCACCATCATCATCATCATCATCATCATCATCATCATCATCATCATCATCAACATCATCATCATCAGCAGCAGCATCATCATCACCATCAGCATCATCACCATCACCATCAGCATCAGCATCATCATCATCATCATCATCATCATCATCATCAGCATCAGCATCATCAGCATCATCATCATCATCAGCATCAGCATCAGCATCAGCATCAGCAGCATCCTCATCATCAGCATCAGCATCAGCATCAGCATCATCATCGTCATCAGCATAATCATCATCATCATCATCATCATCATCATCATCATCATCATCATCATCATCATCATCATCATCATCATCATCATCATCATCATCATCATCATCATCATCATCCCCCCTCGCCTCCTCCCCCCCTCCCTCCAGTCTCACTCTTGGCACAGCTCCTCGATCTCGCGCCCGCTGGGGTGCGTGTACGCGCAGTGAGGGAGGTTGCAGGTGCGGTCGAACTTGCAAGTGACCGTGTTCGAGCCTGAGAGGAGGAGGCGAGAGGCAGACAGAAGGAGAGGAACGATAAGGAAGTGATTGGACTGGGGAGGAGGACGAGTAGAAGAAGAGAGGAAGAGAGGAAGAGAAGGTAAGGAAGAGGTGGTGGAGAAGGGGGGAATGACAAGGCAGGAGAGAGCGAGAGGGGTGAAGAGGAGCAAGTGATTGAAGGAAACGGTGGGAGGAGGAGGAAGAGGAGAAGGAAGGAAGAGGAATAATATGAAAACAAGACTGAGACGGATAATAAATTATCCCGGCAAAGCAACCTAACAGCGATGTGTAGGAGCATATCTGGAAGCATTCCCCTTAAGATTCAGATGAGAATCCAGTTGTAGAATTCTGCTGTTCTCGCAGTCGTAGTCGCATTCGCGATGACAGTCGCAGGGCAACGGCAGTACAGTCACAGCCTCAGCCTGCCTCAGCCTCAGCCTGCCTCAGCCAAAGCCCTCACCTGCTTCAGCTCAGCTTCATCTTGCCTTCAGCCTCGGCCTCAGCCTCAGGCTGCCTCAGCCTCAGCCTGCATCAGCCTCACCTCAGCCTGCAGCAGGCCTCAAGCCATCAGCCTGCCTCAGCCCCTCACGCCTCAGCCTGCCTCAGCCTCAGCCTCAGCCTGCTTCAGCCTCAGCCTCAGTCTGCCTTCAGCCTCGGCCTCAGCCTCAGCCTGCCTCATCCTCAGCCTGCCTCAGCCTCAGCATCAGCCTGCCTCAGCATTCAAAGTGTGTCCCGGGAATGGAGTTCTGGGAACTGGAAGAACACGAAGTGGCCTACAGTTGGCTCCGGGCATTCAAAATCATGCCCAGGAATGGAGTTCTGGGAACTCGAAGACCACGAAGTGGCCTACAGTTGGTTCTGGGCATCCAAAATGTGGCCCGAGAATGGAGTTCTGGGAACTCGAAGACCACGAAGTGGCCTACAGTTGGCTCCGGGCATTCAAAATGTGGCCCGGGATTGGAGTTCTGGGAACTCGAAGAGCACGAAGTGGCCTACAGTTGGCTCCGGGCATTCAAAATGTGGCCCGGGAATGGAGTTCTGGGAACTCGAAGAGCACGAAGTGGCCTACAGTTGGCTCCGAGCATTCAAAATGTGGCCCGGGAATGGAGTTCTGGGGACTCGAAGAGCACGAAGTGGCCTACAGTTGGCTCCGGGCATTCAGAATGTGGCCCGGGAATGGAGTTCTGGGAGGTCGAAGAGCACGAAGTGTGTGACTGTTGGCTTAAAACGACTTCTGCGGCACCCTGTCCGGCACCCGCCCAGACCCCCCTGTGGAGTCATTTGCTGCTCTCTTTTGACCCCACTAGAAACCTATCAGAACAAGCTGTTAGGTAAATAATATGATAAGAAGTACGAAAGAAGGAACGGCAAGAGGAGGAGGAGGAGGAGGAGGAGGAGGAGGAGGGCTTCGATGATTGATGCTTCGCGCGCGGGTCTCTGTAGGCTTCTCCCCGTGCAATGCTTCAACTGAGCGTTGCTTGCCCTGTGCCTCCAGGATCTGAGCCTTTGATGCCAGGTTTGGGCCACGGCTGCCCAATGGGGGCTGGACGTGACTCTAGACGTGGGTACGCACGCGGAGAGTTCAGCATCGAATTCATAAGGTCACCCAACTCTGCGCATCGTGACCCGCGGTGCGCAACGCGCGGCAATCTTCGCGCCTTCGCGCCCTCACGCCGCCCACCTCAGGCAAGGACCACCGCCATGACTCGGACCAGGACTCGCTGAAGGACTATCTTCGCGCCCCCGCGGGAGACCTAGACTCAACACAAAACCGGGGTTCCACACAACAACTCAAGGTCTCGCACACGGAGGGCTCCAGACCACAAAGGGTCCCAACTCACCTGCCGCACATGCGAACTGTTCCGCATCCACGCGCTGGCGTCACCCGAAATGTCTCAGGCGGGCCACCACAACAACCATTCCCCCTCGTCCTCCCTCCTCCTACTCCTCCCCGGACACCTGGCCTTGCGCTTTTTCCGCAACGTGGCTTCCCAGAGGTCTAGACCCGCTCCTGCCGACTGGCTGCTCATTCTGAATCGTTTCCAACGGCCCCAGGGCTCAGGTAGGGCCCCAGGAAGCCAAAAATTGGCAAAAACCCTCTGTCCTGATTCACTCACCACTCGAGGGTGGTCCGGTTGCCCGGAGGACTCGGGTCTGTGAGGTCTCCGAGGGAAGCCTACGAAATCGGGCCCGCCGTATCCGGAAGCCTAGAAGCCGCCACCACGCTCTCACGAAGGCGGTCCCATATACGGTGCAACCAGATCGTGAGGAGATGCGCGGTCAGGATACAAGGCCCTGGGACCCCAAATTCGAAACCCAGAGCAGAAGCCCGTGGCCCATAGCTGAGACTCCCGCCCCGCCTTCTCTCTCCCCCTCCTCCAACTCCCCCCTCCTCCTCCTCCTCCAACTCCCCCCTCCTCCTCCTGCTCCTGATCCTCCTCCTCCCTCCTCCTCCTCCTCCTCCTCCTCCTCCTCCTCCTTCCTCCCTCCTCCCTCCTCCTCGTCCTCCCTCCTTCGTCCTCCTCCTCCTCCTCCTCCTCCTCCTCCTCACTCCTCCTCCTCCTCCTCCTCCTCTTCCTGCTCCTCCTCGTCTTCCTCCTTTTCCTCCTCGTCCTCTCCTTCCTCCTCCTCCTCCCTCCTCCTCCTCCTCCTCCTCCTCCTCCTCCTCCTCCTGCTCCTGCTCCTGGTCCTCCTCCTCCTCCTCCTCCGCCTCCTCCTCCTCCTCCTCGTCCTCCTCCTCCTCCTCCTCCTCCTCCTCCTCTTCCTCGTCATCCTCCTCCTCCCTCTTCCCTTCTCTTCCGTCTCCTCCTCCGACTACTTGGAAGCATGGTGTCGTCGCCATCGCCGCCGCCGGAGGAGGAGGAGGAAGAGTGAAAGTCCCCTGAAGAGTCACAATACCGACCAATTCAGACCGAAAACGATGAATAGTGAGGACGCGGGAGAGAAAAAAAAAAATATCCCGGCAAAGCAACCTAACAGCGATGTGTAGAAGCGTATCTGAAAGCATTCCCCTTAAGATTCAGATGAAAATCCAGTTGTAGAATTCTGCTGTTCTCGCAGTCGTAGTCGCATTCGCGATGACAGTCGCAGCGGCAACGGCAGTCGCAGTCACAGCC